GGACTTAAATTAAAGGGAACCTTTTTTCTTGTTAAAAAATGGACTTAAATTAAAGGGAACCTTTTTTCTTGTTAAGAAAAAAAGAAAAAAGGGGGACATAAGATAAATAAATAAAATAAATTCTGTCATATTGCCTGGCCAGTGGAGTGGAACCCTGGCCCGGGGTCTCTTTTTTTTTTTTTCCTTCTCTTTTCCATTCTTGTCTTTTCTTCCTTCGTTTCCCCACAAAACTCCCCTTGCCTTTTCAACGAGAGCCTGGCTCAGTTGGTACGAACATGAACTGTAGAAATACAGACCTGAGTTCGATTCACGAGGATGGAACAAGATGAATGAAATCAAATTAAAATAAAAATAAAAAAACTTGCCCTTTTTTCTTTAATAATAATAATCGGGACCGCCTCTCGATTGATTTATGCATGTCATCCTTGCACAGGGCCCATGCTAATCTTCATTCGCTGTATCGTTCCAGTTTTAATGGATGTGCCAAAGTACAATAGTGAAGACAGGTAGGAGTGCATGCTCTTATCATCACTCCTATCTGTCGGTGCAGGGTTCAAAAAAAAAAAAAAAAAAAAAAAAGTGACAACAAATAACAGGACCTGGGTACGAGGGCTGGGTCATGTCAGTCACTACAACAGCTGCTGCGCGCCTAAGTCCGAGCCCGGTCCCCCCGGGTACACGGGACAGAGGGGCGGGCTTAACGACAACCATATAACAGATATAAAGGGGCTGTAGGCCACCTCCTGTGGTAGCGGGAGCAGGGTCATGTTTTCTGTATGTACATAAGGAACTTGAATGCTGGGTGCGGTTCCCAGCACGTGGTGGTCCCCACGGATAAGATCGGGGGCTAAAACACCCTCAGCCGACTGAAACAGTTGTGGGCTCTTATCGACACACGTCTGAACTCCAGACCACTTGCAATAAGGGAAAAAAAAAAAAAAAAAAAAAAAAAAAAAAAAAAAAAGATTAGACTATTAGTAGATTATACTCCCTCACTTTTCTTTCTTTGATTTCCTTAGTTGCCCGAGCATGTTCATCTCACCTAGACCTATTCTGGATTTGTGGACAAAAGCATTGTACTAATCGTTGTTCGTTTTTCTCTGTCTTTGTCTTTCATTTTTTAAGGGTTTTTTTTTTTTGTTTTTTTTTGTTTTTTTTCTTAGGTGCATGCTCCTCGTCCATAAACCAGTTCGTCGTCGAAATCTTAAACCATCTACCTCCTTCCCCTGTACATAACGCCCCATCATTATAGCTGTGTATAATTGTATTAGTATTTAGGGCAATGTTCAGGCCAGATACAGATATAATGACGGGCCAGCATGTTCCAGGGAAAAGGTATAGGTCTGAGCTCTCACTCGAGAAGATTCCTCCGCGTTCCTGCCCGTCGATCGTTTTTCCTATTTTTGGGGGGCGGCATGCCCATCGTTCAACCTAACCTCTTTTTTTTTTTTTTTTTTTTTTTTTTTTTCCTAGGGTCTTCTCTGGTTGCTCGCTCTACCTAACCTACAGTTTCGAACCGAAGAATTCTACATTATTCCATCGCCAGGCATTGCAGATTGGTGGTTGGGGGCGGGGGGGAGGTGGACCTCTCCCCTATCTCTCCAATGCTCATACCCTGTACACCTCCCTCCCCTCCCCCCCCCCTCCTCTCCCCCCCTTTGTCCTCCAAAAAACAGACACACGTCCCATGCACACGCACAAAAAGAAGATCATGGTAATGATTTGCAGTCATGCAGCTTGAGCCCCACAATTTTGGCCACTTACGCAGAAACTCTTTCAACCAAAAAAAAATAAAATAATAAAAAAATAAAAAAATAAAATTAAAATAATAATAATAATAATAAAGGCGAGTGGAGCTATTGGAGTCTCCACCCATGCCAAACCACCACCCAAACCTTCTACCTATGATGGTCAGACATGACCTGCTGGAGGCCAGCCCAAAATGCTGCGCTGCGCCCCTTTAACTTCTGATAAGGGCTCCCCCCCCTCCTCCTAATCTTCTGGTAAATTTTCCCTTTCCCTTTGGTAGAATTTCCACTTGTACTTATTCTATCTGTTTGCACTTGTCCAGCTATTGTGGCTGAATGGTACACCCATAATTGTTGACAAATTGACCTGAGTCCCAATCCTGATGGTATCAGATGATAAAGATGACCAACGTAACCGGGAATTACCTGGGGCGGGTCGGTTCGATGAAAATACCTCAGCGCCATCATCCTTTTCTTGCTAGCGAAAAAAAAAAAGACCACTTTCTATGTGCAACTGGGTAAATATTAGACAGGAAAAAAAAAAAAAAAAAAACTTGAAGAAAGTTATGTTAACTGGCCGGACGTCCGGGACCCCGCTGCTGACCGTCCGGGGATTGTCTGGTCGGACGTCCTCCCGGGGCAGTCTGTCCGAGCCCACACGCCAAAAAAAAAAAAAAAAAAAAAAAACCGACAAAAAAATATGTCATCATTGTTATGCAGAAAAACAAACTGCACAACTTTTGCCTTGGGGTCACATCGGCCTAGCTCAGTTGGTAAGGCACGCAAGCGGCATTCAGGAGGTCTTGGGTTCAATCCCCGTTGGCCTCATGCACCTTCCTGGGCAAGCTTGGTGCCCGCCACCTAGAGATATGTCGTTGGTCCCCCCGAGTGGCACTGAGCAGAGACTGCTGATGTTCATAGGGGGAGGGGACAGGAGGGGAGGCACAGTGACTGGCCCATCGAAGAAGCTCGGTCCTGATGCTACCGGCTGACCCCTGGCCGGTATCGCCCACCTGCTGTAGCAGGTATCGCACCTGCTGGTGGGTGCAGCTCCCGCATGTTCCCTCGTTGGAGGCTTGAGCACGGATGTGGCTGCTACGGGGTTCCCCGTAATACTATAATGACAATAAAAAAGGCCTGAAAGGCCGTCCTGTCCAGATTTGACAGGTAATTGAATTGGTTGGGCTTCAAAGAATTAGCCTTTAAAAAAAAGAAAAAATAGAAAGTCTTTACCAAATGTGAAATAAATAATAATCAAAGACACCCCCAATTTTTTTCCTTTTTCCCAAATTTTCCGTGCTTTAAACTGCTCAAAATGGAGTTGTCCAGGCCCGGACCCCCGCCCTCCTCCTCCCCCCCCCCCTCTCCTCTGACTGTCCGGCCAGGACGTCCTGCCATCGGAAAACTGGTAGCCTAGCAAAAAAGATATAGATACTTTTCTGCCAGTCACATCATCCCTCACCTATCTAGCTTCACCTTCCCATTCCTTAGTTTCTTTTCTTTTTTCTTTTTTCTTCCCCCCCCCTTCCAAATGGGGTATCCCCTAACCTTATTGTGTCCGTCTGATTCCGTCAGGACTTGTACTCGTGACCTTCGTCTCAACAGTTACATGTGTACAGCGTGTGTACGTGTACACGATTCCGGGATGGGTAGCTGCCTGTTCCTTCTTTTGCTCGAGTCTTTTTTCCTTTTTCTCTTCTTCTCCCAGAACAGTATGTGCTTCAAGTTGACCCCTCTTTAAAAAAAGAAAAAAAAGGGTGCACCCCTCTTAAACCACTGGTAATTGGCCCAGCTATCGGCCATGGAACAAAAAAGAGTAGAAACGTTTCTAGTGGGATGAATTTGGCCGATCCTGTAGTGGCCCGTACGTTTCCTAAAATTGTGGCTCGTTAAAGGGCACAAGTTTAGGAAATACTGGTGGTTTCAAAAAAAAAAAAAAGAAGGGTTCACCCCTAGCTACCAGAGTGGCCCAGGACCACTTGCACGACTGGGCAAAAAAAAAAAAGAGGTAGTTCACATTTGGTAACTAGGCTACCAGAGTGGCCCGGGGTCACTTGCCCGGCCGGGCCAAAATATATATATTTATATATATCGTCAAATAGAACTGCCCGGTAAACCGTAGGCAGAGAGGGAGAAGAGGACAACAAACGAGGGGCTGTGACAATATATATATATATATATATATATATAAACTTTATTTTTTATTTTAAATGTGGTGAA